GATATATCACGTTATTGTGATTTCTATGTATTAATATTAAATATTATATATTTTAGAACTTAAGAGCATAAGAATCAAGGAAACTGCAGAAGGCCTCTCGGTCCATAGGTGGCAGCTCCTATTTATATCCACCCAAACTCATTCATATATATGTCTAACCTATACCTGAAACAATCAAGGAATCCTACTTATCCATTTCGGGTCATTATTATTCGATCTAATAAATTTGTATGGTATACTGTTTTCCTGTGCTTTGCTTTGAATTTTTTTATATAAGTTTTATTTTGAATCCACATCTCAATCCCTTGTTACTTCACTCATCGCTAGGTTCATGTCTCGCTCCAAGACAGGCCCGCTCCCCCGTGCCCAGGTCTGTCCAATATATTCCACCCAAGATTTCTTAGCTCATTAAAATCAGCTTTTCCGAAGTCTAGCACTTTAACAGAATTCAGTCTTACACATTTATTCCGTTCTATGCTAAATATGATTTGCTTGTGATCACTGTTTCCAGCTCACGCCATATTTCTGTCATTAATTTGTGTCTCCCTGATAGTTAACACTAAGTCTAAAATAGTATTTTCCCAAAGCTGGTTTCATGTGTTGCTAAGGAAGCAATCATCAATTAATTCCAAAAAATCTTCTGCTTTGGTATTCCGTTCTGTTAAGCCAGTTTATTCCACTTAAATTAAAGTGAAATAAACATGACACAAATATTGTTTGACCTAGATGCTTCAGATACTTCATTTCATGAAATGGGATGAATGGAAGCTTTGCTGCCATTCTAACTTTCGTGGCCTGTATATAAGATGGATACCTATTATAAGATTATATTTTAAAATATAATATATATTAAAATTATAATATATAATTATATTATACGATTTTTTGCGTTTACGTTTAATTTTAACCAAATAGTTTCTGTGCGTGACACTGTTTTTATTCCCTCTTTGACATTACATTTCAAATTTTCCCTGACGTATATGACTACTCTCCCTCCTTGTCTACTTTGTCTCTTTGTATGAAATAGTTTAAATCCGTTTATTGTATAATCAGCTAATAGTTTCGTTTTCTATATTTATCCATGTTTCGGTAATTGCAATAATATATATTGTTTCTATGCAGACATGATCATTTAAATCGTTTATTTTGTTTCTTAGATTCCTACTGTTCGTATAATATACTTTAAGTGTATGCTATTTTGAGGCCCTTCTCCTTCCCTGTTCCTTTTACCAATTAGCTTCAATACAACACAAAATAAATATATCAACACAAAACAATGTATATAATTCTTATAATTCTCCATAATTCTTATATGTTTATGTTCGTGGAGTGTCACATAGGACAGGAAAACTCTAACAAGGTCTTTTACAGCTTTCGCGATGACCTCCAACTCATTCGCCACGTTGGAGGACGAATACTATGGGGAGACTGCAGTGCATACGAAAGACAAGGCAATGAACGGAGCGCCGGTTAAGGAAGTAAGTCAGCGAATTTTGGTTGTGGGGTGATTCCCAGGTGAGGTATTTGGATAGAACTTTTTGTGCCAGAGATAGGACGGGACAGGTTAAGGGTTTGCTATACGGGAACATAAATTGGGTAAACAATATGAATGAGTTTAAGGGTAGAAATGGGAACAAAACCATTACTTGTATCAGTGCCGCTGGTACTTTTTAGGTTCAATTTTGATATTTTGTTATGAAAGTCGCTTTTTAGAGAGGTTATACCTGTTACTTAAGTACCTTATGGCTCTTTCATAGAAAACAATGACGTCTGCTTCACTTTTCTTAGACACCTCTGGGATGAGCTGGTCAAGCTTGGTGTTTACTGCACGGCAAAAAAAAGTTTTACTCCTCTCTCAAGTTTGTTTTACGGTTCAGACATTACCTTATATTCTGAAGTTATGTTGAAAGTCTTGGCTTCAATGTTTTTTGTGAATAATTTAAGATTGTGACTGAGCAAGAAGAAATAGATTTCTGACAATTCGCAGCTATTTCCTTCATCTCCAAGCACTTCCATAGTGCCTTGGGGCACTCCTCCTCATCTAAGCAGACATTAGGACAAGAGTTTACAAAGTACACACATGCAGGTACTAGGACAGGAGAGTACACACATGCAGGTACTAGGGACAGGAGAGTACACACATGCAGGTACTAGGACAGGAGAGTACACACTTCCAGGTACTGGGACAGGATAGTATACACATGCAGGTACTAGGACAGCAGAGTACCGACATGCAGGTACTAGGACAGAAGAGTACACACTTGCAGGTACTACGACAGGAGAGTACACACATGCAGGTACTGGGACAGGAGAATACACACATGCAGGTACTAGGACAGGAGAGTACACACATGCAGGTACTAGGACAGGAGAGTACACACATGCAGGTACTAGGACAGGAGTATACACACATGCAGGTACTAGGACAGGAGAGTACACACATGCAGGTACTGGGACAGGAGAGTACACACAGGCAGGTACTAGGACAGGAGAGTACACACATGCAGGTACTAGGACAGGAGTATACACACATGCAGGTACTAGGACAGGAGAGTACACACATGCAGGTACTGGGACAGGAGAGTACACACATGCAGGTACTAGGACAGGAGAGTACACACATGCAGGTACTAGGACAGGAGAGTTTACACATGCAAGTACGATGTTGTAGAGTACACACTTCCAGGTACTAAGACAGGAGAGTACACACATGCAGGATCTAGGACAGGAGAATACACACATGCAGGTACTGGGACAGGAGAGTACACACTTGCAGGTACTAGGACAAAAGAGTACACACCTGCAGGTACTAGAACAGGAGAGTACACACTTGCAGGTACTAGGACAGGAGAGTACACACTTCCAGGTACTGGGACAGGATAGTACACACATGCAGGTACTAGGACAGGAGAGTACACACTTCCAGGTACTGGGACAGGAGAGTACACACATGCAGGTACTAGGACAGGAGAATACACACATGCAGGTACTAGGACAGGAGAGTACACACTTGCAGGTACTAGGACAAAAGAGTACACACATGCAGGTACTAGGACAGGAGAGTACACACTTCCAGGTACTGGGACAGGAGGGTACACACATGCAGGTACTAGGACAGGAGAGTACACACAGGCAGGTACTGGGACAGGAGAGTACACACATGCAGGTACTAGGACAGGAGAGTACACACATGCATGTACTAGGACGGGAGAGTACACACATGCAGGTACTAGGACATGAGAGTACACACTTGTAGGTTCAAGGACAGGAGTGTACACACATGCAGCTGCTAGGACAGAAGAGTACACACATGCAGGTACTAGGACAGGAGAGTACACACATGCATGTACTAGGACAGGAGAGTACACACATGCATGTACTAGGACGGGAGAGTACACACATGCAGGTACTGGGACAGGAGAGTACACACATGCAGGTACTAGGACAGGAGAGTACACACATGCAGGTACTGGGACAGGAGAGTACACACATGCAGGTACTAGGACAGGAGAGTACACACATGCAGGTACTGGGACAGGAGAGTATACACATGCAGGTACTGGGACAGGAGAGTACACACATGCAGGTACTGGGACAGGAGAGTACACACAGGCAGGTACTAGGACAGGAGAGTACACACATGCAGGTACTGGGACAGGAGAGTACACACAGGCAGGTACTAGGACAGGAGAGTACACACATGCAGGTACTGGGACAGGAGAGTACACACATGCAGGTACTAGGACAGGAGAGTACACACATGCAGGTACTAGGACAGGAGAGTACACACATGCAGGTACTAGGACAGGAGAGTACACACATGCAGGTACTAGGACAGGAGAGTACACACATGCAGGTACTAGGACAGGAGAGTACACACAGGCAGGTACTGGGACAGGAGAGTACACACAGGCAGGTACTAGGACAGGAGAGTACACACAGGCAGGTACTGGGACAGGAGAGTACACACAGGCAGGTACTAGGACAGGAGAGTACACACATGCAGGTACTAGGACAGGAGAATACACACAGGCAGGTACTGGGACAGGAGAGTACACACAGGCAGGTACTAGGACAGGAGAGTACACACATGCAGGTACTAGGACAGGAGAGTACACACATGCAGGTACTGGGACAGGAGAGTACACACATGCAGGTACTAGGACAGGAGAGTACACACATGCAGGTACTAGGACAGGAGAGTACACACAGGCAGGTACTGGGACAGGAGAGTACACACATGCAGGTACTGGGACAGGAGAGTACACACATGCAGGTACTGGGACAGGAGAGTACACACAGGCAGGTACAGGAGGACAGGAGAGTACACACAGGCAGGTACTAGGACAGGAGAGTACACACATGCAGGTACTAGGACAGGAGAGTACACACAGGCAGGTACTAGGACAGGAGAGTACACACATGCAGGTACTAGGACAGGAGAGTACACACATGCAGGTACTGGGACAGGAGAGTACACACATGCAGGTACTGGGACAGGAGAGTACACACATGCAGGTACTGGGACAGGAGAGTACACACTCACACTGTGGGGTCTAGTGGCTGAGTGGACAACGTTCAGGGGTCGTAGTACTAAGGGCCCGGGTTTTATTCCAGGCTGAGGCGGAAACTAATGGGCAAAGTTTCTTGCACCCTGATGCCCCTCTTTACCAAGTTGTAAATAGGTACCTGAGAGTTAGACAGCTGCTACAGGTAGCTTCCTGGGGATGTGTGCGTGTGTTAGAGAGAAATATATGTAGTATATATAATAGAGGAAAAATTTATTGCTTGGAAAGGCGGGGTCCGAGAGCTAAAAGCTCGATTATTCAAACTCAAATAATACATACAAGAAGGTAGTAAATCAAGAGAGTATATACATAAGGATACTACGATACAAATACTACCTCACGAGTACACACTATGTATCCTACTGGTACTGTGGCAGGAGTATATACATCTGCAGGTAGTCATGTATATATTATAAAGTCAGACGTACTTACAGTGTTATCAGCAGAGCCTCGAGGCAAATGGAGGTGTTCCACTGGAAGCCCGCCAGGAGGAAGAAGGTGAGGAGGCCGGCTGTGAGGGAGACAGACATGACGTTACTTCACTCACTCATACACTCACATTCTTCCTCATTATTAAACACGCGCTTTAAGGGAGGAACAATGAGGCGAGGCTCCAAGATTATCATCAAGGGAGGCTTGATGACTCTCCATGAGGGACAGAATATTGATCACGTCCATCCATGGTAATGTGACTAAATTCTTCTTAATATGTCTATTTAAGTGGTATACCATCAAAAGTGATTAAGTCCAATAATAGTGACCATTGGACTAAAGAATCTTATGGGAGATAAGAAAATTTTGTAGAAATTATTTGAAAATAGAAAATTGCATCTAAAATACCAGATTATCAAACTATAAATCCCAATTAAACAATATATAAGAAACGCAAAATGAACAATGAAACGTGTATAGCAGGAGAGGTAAACACAAATATTAAAGGGTTTGTGTTTACCTCCTTCCACATATGGTCAGAAGACTGGCAAATGCTTTTTAATAATATTGTGTTTACCTCCCCTGCTATACGCTCCCCTAATCATTCAAATTCTGCCTTTGACAATTTTAATAGGAGTTAACGAGACGCATCTCTTAGCATCAGCGTCACACAAAATAAAATTAACTCTCCGAAGTTCGGTTTTCAACTTCCATCTTCAGCGAAGAAAAATGTAAAGAGAATAGAGAAGATTCGCGCTAGAATCACTAATCACCTTGTCGGTCACATTCAATAATATATCAACAATATATATATATATATATATATATATATATATATATATATATATATATATATATATATATATGTCGTACCTAGTAGCCAGAACTCACTTCTCAGCCTACTATGCAAGGCCAAATTTGCCTAATAAGCCAAGTTTTCATGAATTAATTGTTTTTCGACTACCTAACCTACCTAACCTAACCTAACCTAAATTTTTCGGCTACCTAACCGAACCTAACCTATAAAGATAGGTTAGGTTAGGTTAGGTAGGGTTGGTTAGGTTTGGTCATATATCTACGTTAATTTTAACTCCAATAAAAAAAATTGACCTCATATATAATGAAATGGGTAGCTTTATCATTTCATAAGAAAAAAATTAGAGAGTAGTTGCAGAGAGAGTCTATCCAGAATCACAATGCGGATTTAGAGCTGATAGGTCCACCATCGACATGGTCTTTTTCCCTCAGACAACTGCAAGAGAAATGCAGGGAACAGAAGCAGCCACTCTTTGTAGCCTTCATAGATCTGACGAAGGCCTTCGACCTCGTCAGCAGGGATGGCCTGTTCAAGATCCTCCCCAAGATCGGATGCCCACCCAGGCTCCTCAGCATCATCAGATCTTTCCATGAGAACATGAGGGGCACCGTGGTCTTTGAAGGCCTAACATCAGACGCCTTTGACATCCGAAGTGGAGTAAAGCAGGGCTGCGTACTGGCTCCAACCCTATTCGGGATTTTCTTCGCAGTTATGCTGCGGCACGCCTTCGGATCTGTCACGGAAGGCATTTACCTCCGGACCAGGTCGGATGGAAAGCTCTTTAACCTCGCCAGGCTGAGAGCCAAGACAAAGGTTCGACTGAGGTGTCTGCGCGACTTCCTCTTTGCCGACGACGCAGCAGTCACTGCCCACTCAGCTGAAGACCTCCAACGGCTCATAACCCGCTTCAGCGAGGCCTCTCAGGCTTTCGGACTCACCATCAGTCTGAAGAAAACACAAGTCATGGGAAAAGGAGTGGACTCCCCACCTGACATCGGCATCTCTGATTCCAAACTGGAAGTCGTTCACGACTTCGTGTACCTGGGCTCCACAATCTCTGACTCCCTCTCTCTTGATACGGAGCTAAACAAACGCATCGGTAAGGCATCTACTACCATGTCAAAACTGACAGAGTGTGGGCCAACAATAGGCTAACTGAGTATACTAAGATTCAGGTTTACAGATCCTGGTCCTGAGCACTCTCCTTTATGGCAGTGAATCTTGGACCACTCCGCGCCCGTCAGGAAAGAC